TTTTTTTTATATTTTTAACTTAATAATGCTCTAACTTTTTCAAAAATGAACATATCAATATAAAATTTTTTTATATAGATGCTTGATGTCTTTACCTATTATTTGGTATATTTTTTTTGTAATTTTGACTTTTTTTCTGCCCACAGGGGGGGATTTAAAATGACAACTTTTTCACAAAAAATAAACTTTTTCAACTTAACTTTTGAAAATGTTCCGGAAGGTCTGACACTTTTATATATATCTTAAATTAAAGCTAATGTAATATACTTTAATTTGAAAAAAAAAAATTTGACCTCTGGACTTGTCTTCACGGCGAAAATGGCTACCGAATGCTATTTTCGTGTGAAAATTCTCGATTTTATTATTTATATTATATTTAACTTTATAATGCTATAACTTATTGAAAAGTTTATGGATCCACACAATTTTTTTATGAGAAATAATATTTTTTAATAAACCCTTTTTCATTTGACATACTTTATCTTTATCGAGATATTAATAAGGAACCAGCAGATCAAGTAGCTTTTGGAATAAAACACCAATTTTTTTAAAATTAAACACTATCTAAAGATTTGCATCGAAGCGTTTATTTTTGATAGTGATTTTAATCACTGTCAGATATCATTATACTTGATCCAACTATACCACGTCACAACTGTGCCGCGACCCCCCTGTGCTGGGTTTTTTTTATTCTTACTATTGTAATTAACAGGTATAGTAAAAGAGTCAATAAACATTAATGTGTCATCATTAACAAATAGCGACTTCTTATGCTAAAAGCAAATTATCAATAGAAAAGTGTTCAAAAATCTCTGCTCTAACAAGTAATAACAGAAGAACGGAATAAAAATTATTGTAAGAAAAAAAATTTTAAATATCATTAAATTAATAATAAGGTTTACTTAAAAAAAAAAAATAATAAGAAACCAGTGTTACAATTTAGTTAAACTATTTTTTAGTTAATAATACTCAATTATAATAATAGAAATACAATTTTTTATACTATTATTAGTATTTCATTTTTCTTTAAATTACGAAAAAAAAATAAGAAGTTATAGAATTCTATTGACTCAATAGTTGTTTAAAAAACGTCTCGATATTTTTGCTATGATGAAACTATGAGTCAAGTCTTATTTTTTTATCAAAAATGTTCATTAAATATTCTTTATTTAAAATAATTTTCTAGTTTGATTAAATATTCTTCAAAAAATGATTTAGTTCTATTTTTTTAAAGAATATATTTACTTTTACAAATTTAAAAATTTGTAAAAGGATATTTTTAAAAATATTTCCAATACCACAAAATTCTCTAGGGAATATTCTTTCGTTCACTACCTGTATAGTGTAAATGTTTCCTCATTTGTATATCTAAAATATTCTTACTAATACATTAAATTTGTGTTCAATTTATTTTAACTAAATTTTGTATTAATTCATTTAGTTTTAACGATTAAATCATTTATTAGATTCAAATTTTAAAGTGATACTACAAAATTCATAGAACAAAACATATCCGATAATCAATCTACCAGTCAATTGGTTTGATAAGAGCTAAATTATAATTATAATTTACTTTAAATTATAATTTTTTTAAGTGAATAATAAGTGGAATTGAATTAAAATATCGTTAGAACCATTTAAAACTTAAAATAAAATAAAACAATAAGATTTTTTAAAAGAACTCATTAAAATATTTAGTTCTTAAATTATTTAATGTTTACAAATCTTATAACATTACAAGAATTTCAGAATTTAATAAATAATAATTTACTTAAAACACTTATATAAAAGTAAAATTTATATACAAATACATAATAATTAATTAATTTTTTTTAAAAATGTCATTTCTAAGACTTGTAAGAATTATAAGCCATTTGATTTGCAATAGATGATGACCGTTTGTCCCATCCACTGCCATAACCTCCTGCGGAACCACCTGTTGCCCATCCTGCGGTTGAATGAGCATCATGAACAACATGCTCTGAAGATTTGCTCAGAAGTTTTTTTAGTGTAATTATTAATGATAGAATGAGTGCAATTTTACTGATAATCATCGCTTTACCAGCCATTAAGAACAATAATCCAAGAGCTAATGGAATCACCATCATAGCTTTCATAGCAATTCCAGTCATCATCATTCCCATAGTTTTCTTCATTTTTCCTCGACCTTCAAAAATTGAAAAAATTAAAATTAAATATATTCAATGGAAACATAGTTTGTTTTATAGATGTTATAGATAATGCTTTGTTGTACATTTAATTAAAACAAATTAAGTAAATAATTATAATAATTAGAATGGTATTCAATTGTGTAATTAAATTTCAAAAGCTGATAAATTAATAAAAAAAATGCTATTAATAATTTATTAAAATAGGTATTTTTTTATCGTCTACCAGAAGATTAAAAATTGATCTTATTGAGGGATTGTTTTTATTTCTTTAAAATATTTATTTATTTGATTAACATTAAACTTTTAACTAGTTTTTGTTTGCTTGACATTTTTTTTTCGAGGTAGGCAAGTTAATTATTTATTTCTAAATTAAATATACTTTAAATTTCTTTTTTAAATTCCTTAATTTTAAAGTATTTTTGCAAAGTCTTGGTTTTTGAAATATACCCAGAAGATTCTATATTGTCACAATTCCTTTGTATACTGCCAGATTTTAGGCATGGGAACAATTTGACAGTTGTAATGTTATAGCTATATTATAATAACTATAGAATTATTGTATTCTGTTATTTTAATAGTAATAATATCATTGTACAATATGCTAGTGAATTGTGACAAATAGAGTATGTTAACATTAGTAACGGACGTAGTAATATACTTATATATTACAATAAAAAATTTGTCTTACAAGTTTATTAGTTACACTTTTTATAGGAGAACAAGTGTGTAAATTCAATGTTGGGTCGCTAATATGAGATGATTTTTTTAATAAAAAAATAATTTTAATAACTGAAATGTTATCTAAAAAATGTTAACACTTTTGTCAGTAATATTTATTTGTTATGTTAACATTTTACATATTTTACTGAATACTTCTTAAAAAATGAAAAAAGCGTAGTAAAATATTGATACAAATTTATTTTATAAATTTATTAACCCAACAAAAACAATAAATACTAGAACATAGAAAAAATGAATTCAAAATTTTACTTAAGTTATTAAACTTTTATGAAACTTTGTTGCAATACATAATGTATATAAATAGTATATTTTCAAGGTTGTTTGTTGTTGTAAAACGAAGTAAAAAAAAGGAATGAATGTCTATACATTTTATCTGATAGACTCTAAATTTAATAAAATATATTATCCAAAACTATTTTAGAGAATTGATATCCTATTATTTTAGAATCTCAATTTATCAGGTTCAATTGTAAAAATATACAGGATGTTCAGCAAGTAAGAAAATAGGTAAATTGTTACAAATAATGAAAACAATAGAAACCCGTTTCCTTACTTACTGGACATTTTATATAAATTTCAAATAATAAAAATCTTCTATCTAGCGCACTGGTGGTTTTATACGGTTCTTATGGTGAGATAAAAGAAAATAAAATCTTACTTTTAGAGACCACTACATAAAAATTCATGTTTGAATTTTTAACTCATAAATTATATTGAATGATATCGATGAAATCAGTTTAATATACCCAAAATTATTATTAATAATTAACTACATTCATAACAAGAAACTTAATAATATTATCACAAACAATATATTAAAATATTGAAATACTATAATAGTGAAACAATGTAAAACTTTAGTACTACTGTAACGTAAAATTTAAATAGATTTCCTAAATTAATAAAAATTTAATTTACCTTCTTCTATTGATGATCTTAATTGTTCTGAAGTCAAATTGGGGAATCCAATTTTAACTACATAGCTGTTGATAACTTGAGCAACGGAATCGTAAAACATCTGATTGAGCTTTTCATGTTTTGCTTCATGATCTTCCGTTTGTTTTACTACAGCTTCTAGATCATTTTCAGTAATAGCTTTACCGGATCTATCCAAATGGCTATCTTCTCGTCTTATTAGGCTTAATGAATCCATTAATGGTATATTATCTGTACGAGACACCCTATCTAGAGCAGCAATCGCCTTAATTTTTAAACAAGCTACTGGATCTTTGTTATGATCACATGCGTTCGATCGACTAAACGCTATTACAACTACACAAAAGATTGTTAAACAACTACTGCAATTAGAGAGCAACATAATTCTATTTTGATTTCTGAAAATTTTATTCACTAGTTTTCTTAGAACTTTATTATCGACTACACCAACTATACTACAAAACATGTACTGGACAAATAATTTCCCGCTCAATAGTTTTTATACGCCTGTAGGGTAGGGGAACTCATGAATACGCTTGCTGAAAGACGCCCCTCTGTACAGGACATCTGTTCTTGACCTTTATTATACTCTCGGTACAAAATAGCACTTTCTTATTCCCATAGTATAACAAAATATTCTTATCGCGACATATTCAAATTCGTGTTGTTGTACGGGTACCTATTTTTGAAAGTAAATCATATCTGAAGACATACAACACACATTTAATAATTTTTATAATTGTTATTTTCATTTCCTAACAAATGCAGCATCACGTTGTATGAGAAATGCGAGTGTGTCGTGTGCCTACATATAGATTATAATGAGTCAGGATTGAAAAGATTATACGTTTGTTGATAATTTGCTATCTTTCTTTTATTAATTGTATTTTTAAATTTATTTTATTAACTTAATTAATACCAACTTCTTTTAAGTAATGACTAAATTTACATTATACGGTAAAATATTTTAATTCTATTATTTCAAATAAATCCTTAGTTTCATAGTTTTCATTTAAAAAAACAACCCAGGTTCATCCAATGAATATTTTTTAATAAAAAATAAGGAAATTGAATTTTTTTTTAGATTTAAAATCATTTATACTAACTTAAAATTAGTTACATTTCTGAAAATAATAATACATTCAACATACTTTCATTGTGTAGTACATTAGATTATATATACTCATTTGTGAAATAGTGTTTGATACACAGTATAATAAAATATTGTTTAAATAAATCACAAGTTGATCTTTTGAAATTCGAAAACTCCAGTTACAATAAATAGTAATTAATTTGCTATTCAAATAAATAATTTATGTGACGAATGATTTTGTAGTCAAATTAATAAAAAGTAGTGTTTCAATATTATTTTGATAGTTCCCTTACTCACAATGAGATAACTAAAAAATAAAAGTAGTTTACAAAAAGGATGTTAGTTGTTAAAAATGACACGTGTTCTAGCTTGGTTTCTCTGTTTTAGGTATATCAAATCTTTCTCTTTTTAAATTGTCGGTGGAAATCTTTACATTAGCTTTAAATTCATTTAATGAAAACTAGAAAACAAAGTAATTTGGTGAACTACATCAAATTTTATAATTATGTTGAACAATAAAGTACACATCCCGAAGTAAAAAAAAAAACACTCACACTTTCATATGGACTAGAAGTTATTGTTGTACAGTTTTCAATGCCGTGTGACGGTATATTGTGTGCTAATTGTTATTTTTGGAATAAGTTAATATAAGATTTAAAGAGATTCACTCTTAATAAATTTAGCGATTTTCATAGTGATAGTTCAGTGCCAGCAATAGGTATTATAAGCTTCTTATATATTTTTATTTTAGTAAACAGACCTTTTTTACTTTTAATCTATGTTTGTGAGACCCTTTTAAATGCAAGATCTTAGGCAAGTGCATTGGTATCTTTACATTTCCGCCGGCACTGTGAAGAGATATTCGCTTTTGTTAAATACAAGTTTCATAAAACAAAAGTGTTACAACAAACTGTTTAAAATTTGAACATAACATACTTTGTACATAAAGACTGATTTGAATTAATAATTTTTTGCATTAGGTTTCAGATATAGTTTTAAAATCAATAACCTTATTAATCATTATTTTTTATAATTCATATTGAATATTGATAATTAATTCTCCATCTAATTAAGTCCGTCTTTTGCCTAATTATTCTCAAATAAATATATATTTTTTTAATTTTGAATCTATATAAAAAACGATTTTGTCATGTCTCAATTTAATAACATTAATCGGGACTTAATCTGTTTAATAGTATATAATAGCCATCACTTGATATTGTCGTATGTACAAAATCAAATACCGCTGGTAGAAAAATTTTCTTTTAAGTTATTATACTTTCTGATTATATATTATGTGCTAACTGACCGGAAAATAGTATAACTATTTTAATAAAATAAATCGAAAGCCAATGATGCGCTGATAGCATTAAACTCGAATAAAGGCAAATGATCATTGCTTAAGATTCATTTCGATTACTTTCTATAGCCAATTTCCATCATTTGAACTAACATTTCAACATATATCGAACATACATCTACTGTATAGATATCATAATTTAATATTAGAGCATGCAAATGAAAATATAGTCTTAAATTAAATATAGACAACAATGAAGACCTATTTGCAATGGCTTAACAGTAAAAATATAATAATAGATATTATAATGTGATATAGTTTAAGCACCACACGAGTCCTTGGTTATTTTATATTTATAATTAGAATTCCAATTCAATTGTTATTTGAATTTTAATACATTTGTTTGAAGAACGCTATTAGTTCTATTAGCGCTATTGTTACTGTATTAACTTTGCCTAAGTGTTGTTTTAGTTAGTGTTAGTAGTATTTCTTTTACTTAACTACAAATAAAATATAAATTTGACCCAAATTGTTAAATGAAGTCGTAACATCTTTTGGAGTCTTTTAGCTATTACCAAAGTACCTACTATTGTTTTAATGTGCGGTTTACATGGCTTGTTTAATAAATCATTAAAACACCAAAACTTCTATAACTAAAAGCAAAAGTATAAATCATTGACACCTACAACTTATGATGATACCTAAAATACTACATACTTCAATAAGTTAATAATGCATAGTTACGACTTTAAGTACTCTGATTTTAAAAAAGTCATTAAATATACTTTTTAAAACAATTTTATAGTTTAATGTAACTTTTTAACATGATGAGTAAACATTAGTTTCGTTTTCTAATTTATTTAAACGAACACATCTATCAAAATTTTGTTTCTTTCAGAAGATATGAACACTTTGTCGTGTACGTATACATTTCCGGTAGTTACAAGATGATTCCTTTAATGCTAATTTAATGCCTCTTAAAGAAATACATTTTTTTAAACAAATTTTTTTCGGATTTATATGTTATAAAATTAACTTAACTATAGAAGTTAAAATTTTTTTTAATCAACCGCGACTAGAATTCTTTACCTACAGAATTGATCAAATATACTTTCGAATAATATAGAGTGATTCATTTATCATAAACTAACTAATTAATAAAAAATAAAAATAATATTGTGAATTTGTTTTTTTAATATCTTTTAGTTACATTTTTTTCGATATATCCAGCATGTAGTATTTTTTTATGTTCACCCCTTATATATTATAAGGATGTAAACTTTATTTTTTCAAATCGCTACTTACATATTCAACTAGCTTATAAAATAGAAAATTATCTATTTAAGAAAATGTCTGCACAGTAATAACTTTTGGACCAGTGTATCGATGGATACTTACAATTTAGTACCTAGACGAGGGAAGGAGTGCCACCGAGAAATGACTAATGATAAAAATAACAACATCCAAGCTTCACCTCCAGTCTCTATTTTAATATGCTAATAACTCCCAAGGTATTAGTCCAAAATTTGTTATCGACGAGTTCTTAATAAAGTCATTTTCTGTTTTATAAGCTGGTTCAATATGTATATTGCCATTTGAAAAAATTCACTTGACACCCCTATAAGTTATAAGGAATGGATCTAAAAATTATTTAATAACAGATACATAAATATATAACCTACAAAATCCAAAAAAATTTATTATTTTAAGAAAAATCGAGTGGCTAGCGATAAAATAATCTCTCTGTATATTCATGTTTATTTTATTTCCTCATATTACCACGATAAACAATAATATGTATAAATTTTGTTTTGTTTGCATTTCTCCAAAATGTAAAACTATTCTAAATAATTACCAGGTAATTTAGTTGTAGTATTCATTGAAAACGATACGTCTGTTGTTTTGATCAAAACCAAATTATTGTGTTAAAATAAAGACCTTAATAAGAATTTTAAAAATCCTATTTTTAGATTAATATGTGGATAGGAACTTATATAATTACTATTAACAGTAAATTAATGAGAAAAGCATAAAATTTGGTTAGAAACACTATTTTTTGTTTTAATATTGAAATAAATTATTTCATTAAAAATCATAGTTATCATTTCTATACAACTCTTGGTGTTTAAATACATACTACTTAAATATTCAGAACTCTATCTCATATAGTTATACGCCTTAGTTAGCGCCTAGTTTAACCTATGATTTCGTCTGCTGATATGTTATTGAATTTTTGTGTAAATTCTTATTTTTATTAATAAGCTCATAAATTAAAGGCAATAGAAAAAAATTGGATTGTAGATTTCAAATTAGCGCAAAAAAAATGATCTTGAATTTTCGACTGATGAAATTCTGAAGACCAGTTTAGACCTAATTATTTTCTGAAAAGATTTTCATCAATCCTTTCAACTTTTATACACGTTTGCCATGAAAGTAATGAAATATACAACTATTTTATAATTACTTTGTAAAATTTACATTATTAAATTATTGAAAATCAATTTTATATTAACTTTTATGACTGTAATTAAATCTATAAATTACTAAGTATTTATTTACATATAATACTTATTAATCAAAGAACTACTAAGAATTACTAATCAGGATGTAATTAAAGAAATAGGAGTTGATGTTATCTATAACATATAACAATATATGTTGACATATATCTATATATATGTCTTAACTATGTCACGATTCCACTGTGCTACCGTTTATTTATGTGCTATCGTGATTATACCGAATTGATTAAACAAAATATTAGGGTTTCAAAATAATAACTTCACTAATATCCAAAATTCGTTTAGTAATTTAATATATATATATATATATATATATTTAATGCTAGCGTAGGAATCATGTATTTACTTTGTAAATTAACGTATTAACAAATACAATTTTACGAAGAGAAATAATGCTTAGTCCTTTAATGTATAAATCGTTAATATGATTGTTCTTTTTTTCTTATTTGCAGATCATTCAAAGATTTTAAATTAAATTATTACTGCTCAACACGTAAAGATGATGACCATCTTCATACACCAGTGAAACTGTGTGTTCACTAACAATAATGTTTGACCGGATAATAGTTTTACAC